CTGTGCAGTAAGGCAAAGAGGTATCAATTTTTGAAATAGTTCTTCATCTGAAGAAAATATGCACGCCCACGAAGCAAAAGCTCTGGATGACTTTATCAAAGCCGTAAGTTTTGCCGCGTGCTATGATGATAGATTATACACTTTACAAATACTAATGATCATGTTCACTACATTCCGTTGAAAATGGAATCGCACAATCCATTTGTCATAAATAGAATGCCGCTATTTACGCAGCATCGCACTAGTCTGGTGGGGCATCCGGACGAGCAATGCTGAGGTTAGGCGCAGAGTTTTGGGCAATCGCAGTCGTCCACTGGAGCAAGTAGTCGACCTGCATAGACTGCGTGTGCTGCGCATGTCACCGATTGCCACGGTGACCGATGTTAGTCGGGGCAAGCATTGGGTGGAAAAGGTAAAAGGTGATCGAACTCAGACCTGACATGGAGGTATGAAAACTCTAACTAGGACACTGGGTCAACTGGGTCTCGTTAAGCTTCCTGGTTGGAGACCCCGGGATCATCGTAAGTCGTGTTTGAAGATTGAGTGGTATGGCTGGGTGTCGCAAATAGCGGCGCTCGTGCATCTACGCATTATTCTTGCAACCTTAGTCCATGTGAATTCTGTCTTCTTTTTTAACTCTGTTCTCAACATTCCATTCTTCCTTCTGGCCTCTTATCTAAATGGGCAGTCATGAAACAGCAATCAAAACCGGCCCTCGAAACTGCACGGTTAATGGTTGTAAAAGGTGTTTGCTGCGAAAGTTTGTTAAGTGCCTGCCCGGAACAAAATCATTCATTTGAATGTGTTACTTCAAGTGCAAGTATGCTCTTTTTACGGAAGACGACGCTGTTCATCAATCACCAGATGTCTAATAATTTACGCACCAAGCTGTTTCTGTTCCACTGACTGACTGATACGGTACACAGATCTCTCGGTTCATATGTTATCCATTTTCTGACCAATATATATTCTGCCGGGTGTTGTACTGTGTTCTCGTTGATGATGGCGACCGTCCACATCGTAATCAAATAGGCTGATGTCAAGTCAACAATAGTTTTATCCTTTCTTTTTCAGCCTCGTACTCACGAAAAATAGTTTGATGTCAATCACCGCCACAATATGAAAGAAAAACGGAATTCAAGTCGTAGAGGGGAAATAGTTACCACATTCGAGTTCAGCCGATCGGATCTGTTAGCTCGGAACGCACTAAAAAATCTGATTGTGAGAAATCTTTCAAGACAAGGAATAATCGATAGACTGTAGTTCGTATATTGGTGGACCTTGAATATACATTTTGTAAGAGCGCTATACAAAGTATGTGTATTATCGATTATAGTTTTTTTAAAAAAAGAATCTCACAGGCGATAAAAAGTAAATGTCCACTGTCGTATTGCAATAACTTTGATGCATTCGTGTAGGATAATGAGGTCTTTATGCTGCTGACTAGCCAAACATTCCAGACATTTGAATGTAACACTGTTTAAAAAGCACAATCAATTGGGAATAGGGCATTTAAAGTCTTCGGTCTAAGTACAAATAAACAAAAGCTGTGTATCTTTTTTCAAATAGTTCACCTTACGAATGGTGACCAAGTGAGAGAACGTAACTTTTGATCTTATCCCTGTTGGGTTTTTATATCCTTCGTTTCTTCCTTCTATGGAACACATACTGGTCCATACAATTTACTGTAAAACGATAGTAGTGAATCCTTACCATGTGTAATAAAAAGCAGAGATTGTTAGGCCTACGTTTACTCATTTATCCGTTCACTGTCAACTTCCTTACTTTGATTCCTGTCCTCCAGTCGCGATGGAAGTGGACTTACTCCGTTACTAGTGGCCTGTATGCACTCTCGTTCCGCGGACGTGTTCCGTTTACTGATTGCCTGGGGTGCTAGCCTACATCTGACTGACTCACGAGGAAATGCGGCCACACATTACGCGGTCAATTTCACCAATGTGCCTGCAATCCTGGCTCTGGACAAAGCCGGTGCTGATTGGAGTCTGGTCAACGGGGAAGGCAAAACAGCCAGTGAGGTAAGCTGTTCTTTGGTTGTCTATTTCGGTTCACAGTGTATCACTATCTGTTCTCTCCTCTATCCGCCCATCACATTTGGGAACACGGATTCTGAACTTGGCTATTGAATGCAAAACCTAACATACACGCTTCTCGTTGTAATCCCACACGAGCTATCTCTTTTTCATCGTTCCTCTTAACAACTTGTCTCAGCTTTTGAATCAGAATGTGTCAGTGTACGATACAAATTACAAACTATGTGTCACATAAACTCTACCACGCAGTGAGGCCAAACAACAATTTATTCTCAGACCCATTTCAGTTCAGTTTGTGCAACCATTAACCACGCATATTCGTGCGCCGGTTTTGGCTGCCCATTTGGACGAAGAATAGGAGAAGGCAGAAAAGTTGAAGCTAGAGTCGAACAGAAAATTGAGAATTTCAGTGGTCTAAGGTTGCAAAGAAATTGAGAAGATGCACGATCGCCACTGGTTGCGACACCGAGCCATATCACTCAGTATCTCTAACCATTGGTTACGACCATCCCGAGCTCCCCAGCCAGGGAGCCTAACAGGACCTATGTGACCCAGTTTCCTGGTTAGGGTTTTCATACCCTCGTGCCAGGTCTTAGCTTCAAAGTCAAAGTTTTATTATGAGAATAGCTTACAAGCTGGTGCTTCTCTTGTCCCAT